GTTCTCCTTTGTTGCTGGAATCAGTTTAAAGATCTGAAATATAGAGGAAAAAGGAACACAGTTATAATTGAGAGTTCAAATTTTGGAAACAGCATCACAGAATTCAGTTTTGCTCTTAGTCATTTGTTCAGTGGTTAACTGAAGTTCAGGCCTGGGTACATGTAGGTCTAAAACTGCAGCTTTGTATTCTCTTTCTTAATATATCGTCGTTAGAGATAACATGGTGCTTGTATTTTAACCTTTCTTCTGAATGCTTGAGAGTTTGCATTGAGTTGAAAGCATTGGGTTTGCTTGCTTTATTGTCCAAAATTTATTTATTTATTTATTAAATTTTTGTGCTGCCTGACTCCCAGTGACATTGAGCAGCTAAAAGGTCTGGTCCCAGAATTTGTAACTACATACAATTCCCTAACCTGATGTCCTCCAGATGTTTCAAATTACAACTCCCATCTTATTTTTCCAGTGCAGCTGATAATTAGAGAAGGTGGGAATGGCATTTGAAAACCCCTGGAAGCACTAGGCTGAAGAATGCCCACTTAATATCAGATGAAGCCAAGACAAATTTCCCACTTCGTTTTTAGCATCTTAAAAATTGAGTTCTTCCATTATTAGGAGTTTGGGTAATAGTTTGTTGGGTATTATGGCTGCCATGGTGGGGATTTGCCCATTTACCAAAAGGTTACCATAGTGATATGAGTAGTCAGATGGAATATGAAACTTGAAGGGCACCACTGGAGCGGTCAGCAGGGACATTGGCAACCACAGTCTTAAAAGAAAAATAATAGTATCCAGATAAAAATCCAGATAAATCCAGAGTATTTGATGCAAAATTGCTTTAGACAATAGAAAGCACTGTGCTGTTCTATCAATTTTAATTAAAACCCACCCATCACCCAAAAGGCATTGATATTAGGGTTTATATCAGAAGCATACTCTTCTTTATGTAAAGCAAGGGTGAGCAACTACTTAACATCTTTTTTTTCTTTTTGGAAGGGGGAGGATAAGAGCTATAATGAGTGACTGATGGAAAATGGACAAAACTCACATATATGATTTGGGAAGTTGTTTTTTTTAAGCCATGTTAAGCTTATTTTGGGGATCTGTATAATAATTTAAGGGTGGTTCCATTTCAGTGTAGCAGGAAACTGCTGCTGATTTTCAGCAGTTGCGGCTGGAGAGAACTGAGGGGTTGAACCCTCAATTCAAAGCAACCCCTTTCTAATGGTTCTTAATACATAAATATTCAGTCCCACACCATGGCATTTATGAGGGACTTGTAAGCACATAGTTACAATAACTTGTTTGCTACAATATGTTTTGCAGAAAAGAAATCTGAATAGGAAATACCTTCCAGAAGTGGGCACCACTTGATCAGCAACAATCCCGCTGAAGAGTATTCTAGTACATGTACATGTTCAGGTGGTAGACCTCAAGTTGCACTCAAAAGTAGTTGATTCAGGAAAACGCAGTTACATGTGCTGAACATACAGCGTGTCGAACGTTCCTCTTTATCAAAGCATGTGGACTGCAAGCAGAGCAAACCTTTTTGTGTATGTGTATACTCCACATCGTTGAAGAGACTTGATCCCTTTGAATTGAAGTCGGCTTCTTCATCTCACTGATGTTAATTGGCATATGAACAGTGATACTACCCTTCTGTTTGGTGAAAGGTTGTTTTGTCTGCTAGCTAATGATGTCTTGGTACCCAGCAGCTTGTGTTCTGAAGAGATTGCTTTATTACAAAATGTGATGTTTCTCATCGCAAACAGTGACTCCATAACATTGTGGTGTGTCTTACAGGATCAAAAGAATGTAAATGAAATCCTAGTGGTATGATTTTTTTTTTTATGTCATTTGACAACATCACCCTACCAATCAAAAGCCATGTTACTTAAAAAAAGGGCAGCTATGTCTTCTCTAAAAGTTGTTTTTATTTTTTGTACTAGAACTGTATTCTGGTATGTGTAGGGTTCTCCCCCCCCCCATTGTTGTTAAAGGCAAAGATTAAACTTTGGTTGACCATGTTGAAACTTGCACTTTGCACTTACATTTTGGCCTTTATCAATAAATACTGGAGAAAAGAGTGTTTGACTTCACTGTCTGTTAACATGTTTGACTTGATCTCCCTTCCTTTAGCTGACAATACATCCGACTGTAATCTTGATTTAAAAATAACATCCACTGGAAAATCTATCACGCTCATCCTTCCACATGTATGTTAATAACATTCCCTTTGTTTTTACAGAGCAAAAAGACGGGAAAAAATCAGACGTCAGAATGAAGATGATTTAGCCAAATTACAACCCAAGAATGACTTTAGTTTGAGGAATAGGTATCTCTGCAGATTAGGTGCTCAGGTACTGATAACCAAAATATTTATTTTAAAAATATTGCAATACGTGCTTTTTCAGAAAGGACTTTCTTGTCAAATTTGCACTAGAATTATGTTCCAAGCTAATTGGGTGATTATACGAAGGTTGTGGTTTTTATTGTTTATAACTTGTATGCAAAAAAGTCAATATGGTCCCATCAGAAAGAACTTCAACTTTGATGAAGTTTCATGGGAAAAAACTCCTGTTGGCCAAACTGGGCAGAACTAAGCCCTGGGCTACTTGGACTGTATTCTGAATATCAAGATTGAGTCGAGAGGGACTCTATCTAGTCTGTCTCTCTCTCTCTCTGATTTGTTAAGGCCACCTAACTCCAAGACTTTGGGTGGCATACATATGTTTAAAAACAGCTAAAAACCAGATGACTGCTTGGACTAAAACAATGCTCCCTAACATGCAAGAAAAACTTGACAAGAGTTCCACAGACACCTTAATCCTAGGCCTGGAACTAGCTTAACTGCTAGTGACTACTTGGGCCCATACAGGTTGTTTTCCCGGCAACAGTACAGTAATATTGTGTCACTGTTTTCTTCCAATATATTTTTTCAACTTAGCTTGCAACTGTAATCATATTGAAAATATGACCATCCACCAACAATGAGACATGCATGCAAAATTGCATTTTTAATGAATAGTAGTCTAATATCTCCGTAATATGACACCTGCAGAAGGTTATTTTTATTTATATTTATATATCAAATTTATATCACTGCCCAACTCCCCCACAAGGAGGGACTCTGGGCAGTTCACAACAAAACAATTTAAAATCAATAAAAACATACATAATACAGCATAAAATACAATTATTTTTTATATTCTACTTTTATCTTCCTACCAAATATCGTAAGAATAATGCTGAAACAAAACCAGACTGAGACAGAAAAGAGCAGTTTTATCTTATTTTTGTGTACTGTAGTGGGCAAACAGCGCCTTTCAGATTTGCTGAGCTACAGTTCCCAGGAGCCCCATCAGCAACATCTGATATATAAGCAAATAATTGGAACATCAAATTTCAGGGAAAATGATGCGAAGTATATATGGGCCTGTTTGCACATGCAAGTCAGCTACATGCTGAAATTATGCATGTCTGAACCTGACCAGTACTGCTTAATTTGGAAATAATTGCTGATGAGATACCTTGCTCTTTCTTACTTTTTTCAGCTACCAGCCAACTGTGTTTGCCACTTATCTGCACTGGCACACAGAAGTGTGTTGAAATAGCAGAGTTATGTCAAGACATGGACAAACAAAATAAGAAATTGTATCAACACAAGACCTCATTCTTCCATAGCAGAGAAGACCTATAGAATGACAACAGAACACTATTTAGTAGTTTTCTGCAAACAGAAATTATAGCTGGTCTCTTGGAAGACTTTAAAGATCCTACAGTGAACTCTGTACAATAGTGGATGGGTAGGGATTTTTTAAAATGGTGCTCATGGATTTTTATCTGTTTGCTTCTTTGTTTGGAATCCACATCTGTTTGTAACATTAAGCTTAAGGGACAGTTCAGATTGGTGTACAATTAACTAATATAATTGTATACCAGATGTATACTGTGCTTGTTTATCCCATGTATCAGAATAACTGCACTTTGTCTCTAATGGACATTTTATTTGTGTTCTACATTTCTTTCACTCTAAGAAAGAGAAGTAATAGGTATTAATGAAGTAGATTATTTCTATGAAATGTATAGCTTTTAGTGATTTTTTAAAAATTTATTTTACAACTTTTTTTCAGTACAATGAGCATGCGCTGAACATAACAAAAATTAAGATGGTACTGCATAAATATTTCAGGTGTTGCATTACCTTTAAAACCCTTTATAAAAATGCAGATGAACTAAAAGTAGCTATCACAAAAAGATCATTAAATTAGTTATTTTTGTTTTTTATGTTGATGCAATTCAGAAAGTTTCCTATGGAAATTGCTCGTTATCTGTCAGTATATTTTCTTAGCAAGGGAATTGTAGAAAACATGTAGGAGAAAGTTGGAGAATTAAAGCTTAACAGTTCATTGCAATAATAAAGTTGATATGTTTTTGTACCTGTAAGTGAAATGGATTACAGTCAGCATTCTCAGAGAAATCAAAAAAGTCAAGATGGTCATGACAGCATGTTTGAAGCTATACCCCTTTGCACATATGCTGATGTTGCATGCAAAATGGGGTGGAGCTGGGTTTCAGTTTCACTGCTGTAGTACTACTTTTTTATTTTTTTGACCCCTACCCCCAGCAGATACCACTGGGTACAGTTCACTTGGAAACTAACATTGGTGTTGTAGTTTTAGACTGCTACAGTAGGAGATCCTTTAATATGAAGCTTGTCTTGGTTATGTAGGGCTGGAGCTGGACTTGTATTTCTACAAATGGAAGTGTTTTACCAAGCCATTTGGAGCAGACTTTCCAGACGTCAAAGCTTTGGGGGGGAAATGAGCAAAAAAGTGTCTGCTCTCCATCTATAGGAGCATTGCTCAAAGGAAGTCTGGTTCCAACATTAGCACTGTCATTGTATTAACAATTATTCTTGCTGATGGTGTATGTGAGCTAGCGTATTTTTAAGTCTGATAATAGTTTTGAGCCCAGGTTATTGTGCAAATGCTCTTTGGGAAGTATCTTAGTCTTCTTTTATCTAAGATGAGTCTCTGTTAGATAACAGAAGCCACTGCTGTGAGAAATTCACTGTCTTGAACCTGTAATTTTGTTGAAGCTTCCCAAACACACAATTTCTCTTTCCTTCACTATAAAGTTATATTTTGTAAGAGGCTGGTGGTGCATAAACTGATGAACTAGATTTCTAAGCTAGCTGTACTCATTTTTATTACTGGGATGAATTTCATCAGGAAAATAAAATGAAAAATATTTCATAGAGAACTGCAAACTAAAAATGCCTATTCCCTCATTTGTACATGTGATTTGTTGCCTTCTCCTGTTAATAAAGTCCAGTAAGCAGAGAAAGGAATTTCTTTTTGATACCTGTTTTCTGGTGCATCTCATAAGCCCACACCATGGTTGCCATTAATTTTAAGATAGGTACGTCGAGATGTATAGAAAAAGAATGCTGTAATCCAGTTGGATAATATACCAGTGTTTCCATATATGGATTATAGGAAACACTAAGTTAATGTTAATTTCTTTTGGCAGTATCAAATCCATATGCTAGTTTTGGTAGGCAGGGGAAAAAAATGCCAAAACTGTACTCTTGTGTTGTAGCTATTAATCCATATCTTGCCTAAATATATTTCCTTTATCTTGAAGTCTTCTGCAGTGCAAATAGCTGTTTACATGGCTGATAATTAAGCCTGAACTTATGAAACTGCATTTAAAGTTTTCTTCAAATGTCTCAGATATAGCTTTATCATCACAAGTACTTTTTGGTTATTTTACCTTAATACATACAGAATACTAGCTGTAACAGTCTGGCTGCAAGTTTGCCTGATATAATTTATTTTTTATAAATTTGTTTCTTGTAAAACATGGGTGTTTGCAGGGGAAGTCAGAAAAGTAGCCATGACTGTGTGATTGAAGCTTTGCCCTTTTTAAAATTTATTTTATTTTGCCTATTGTAATGAGACATGAAATGAACATAACCACCCAGGTAAAATTTCACTTATTCCCTAGTCAGATTTTGCCCATCAAACAAAAATAATTTCACAAGAGAACTTGCCCTGTCCCCTTCTTAGGAGCTTCATAGTATGAGTGGCAGAGCATAAATCACACAGTCACAACTACCATTTTGGCTTTTTTGGCTCCCTTGGAAGCTCTTGTTCTAAAAGGTGTATCTCCACAAATCACAGAGGGCAACCCCCTGAGGTTATTATTGATATTAGAGCACAGTATCTCATTTATGTATGAATTGATGATTTCAACTCTTAAAATTGTTTTTCTTGGTAAATATAATCTTGTACATATTCAAGGACCAGATTTTCCCCTAGCATGTACAGCCTCTGAAGAAAGCAGTTTAGTTAATCCTTTGTGAGGGCTGAATAATTTTCATTAAGCTAGAGATATTATGGCAACAAAAGTGGTGTTTGCATACTTCAGCTTAATGGGCTGTTGACTTGCAACAACAGTGACCCCTGCTCATCTCTAATACCTATAGCTCATCCTGTTTAGGAACTGCATTAATTAAGAGCTAATTACTAAGACAGCTATCGTGCACTGCCAGAAGCAAATTGGAAAATGTTCATCATACAAATCAAAAATTTATTGTTCCATTACTGCTCAGTGAGGAAGTATCTTTGAACACTGACATGAATGAAAAAGACTGTATTCAAAGTGATATCACTTCATTTCCTTATACATTTTAATTTGTAGTGTCTTTGAGGTCCAAAATGTCTTAGACTACACAATAATGTTTCTGACAGTTATTAGGATCATTGTCCAGCTGGTCTTACATCACCTTTATTTATGTCTACCATCTCACCCTTAGCTCTATTTCCAATACATAACTGATTTACAGTCTTATTCCGTGACGCAAAGTGGTATAATAGCCTTCTCATGAACATCTAAGTGTTCCAGCCAGGTCACTCTCTGATTTGTAAAAACTATAAGCCTAATCATGCTAGGGAGTTTGCACACAACACAAACTGTTGTTATGGATACAGGGGAAAAAAAGATACAGAATTTTACTTCTCATTCCCTTACTGTGGGATCATTTAAAAGGATATTGAAGCAAGTCAGGTATCAAGCCAACATCACCTATTTTATTGTTATAGACTAGCAATAACTTTATTTTAATATAGAAAATTACATAGCATCAACACAACAATAATGTTGCATAGAAAATGGATATGTTACCTGTTTTTTCAACCTTAGTATTATGGATTTAATAATTAAAGACCATTGATGTTTCTTGTTCATAATCTCACACTGCTATAATTAGTGGTTTGGGGAAAGAAAGAGGTAGAAAATCCTGCTGCTAGGTGCCTTGAGGTAATGCTTTCATTCAGCTCATGAATGAATGTTTATAATTTTTCAATGACTTTCCAGTTAGAAAGAAAACCTTTCCTGTTCTTATTGGTCACACACCTAAGGTGGCATGCTTTGTATTAATTTGTTCTGTTTTTGTTATCAATAGTTTGCCACCTTAACTACTTTTGTTTATCCTTCCTTGTCTGATTGTGGTATTTTGGTCATTTCATTGACTGGTATCTGTTGACAAGAAAAATATGCTTTATTCATGGAGGCCAACTTGCTGATGATTGGTTGGTTCTGTGCTGCAGCCACATCCGTGAAGTATATAGATAAAACTGCTGTCTTAAGAATAGCTCTGATGGGAGCTTCTTCAAGGTTGAGAAGGCTTAGCTTAACATCTTGAGGCCTCCCTGTCAGGGTTCTCTCATACAGCAGGCTTTCCTGGGGGATGAATGAAGTGGAAGCTTAACAGTTCTGGAAGAAGCCCAATTGGAAAGGTTGCTGTATCCTAGACTTGACTGATATTCCTAAGAGCAGTTTTATGTAGGGAAACACTAAAGACAAGTTCATGGCATTTCTGAATCAAGGCAACTGGATGATCTTTCAGAAATGAAACGTATGTAGTACTTAATGAACTGCTGTTAAATATTACTACTCATGATGTAAAAGAAAACAAAAGTTGATTTTTGCCTGCTAAAACATGGGGTAATTCTGATTTTCACTTACATTATCCAGTTTTTCTGTCTCTCTCCTCTATGCCCATTAAGAAATTTTCCAGGACACATATGGAAAATGTCTTTCACTCCTAAAATAACATTTCATCAGTCAGAATCTTAGTTTATTAAACTAAAATAGTATCTGCTTGGTTTTTATTGACTCTTATCCTAAAAATAAAAGGAATTGTGGATATGACAAATGTTTGAAAAAGAGTTGGATTAAAGTCTAGAAGTTTCTAATGCTCTGTTTAGGCAGTGTCACAAAAGCAGTGAGCTCTTTTCAGTTCATTCCACTCTGCTGAGCCACTAAATAAATTAAAAAATCAAACACAATTTTGGGGTTCCACTGGTGAATCAGGAGGGGGTGGTGGGGAAGAGGTCCAGCCATCCATGACAAGGAAACCAGCAGTCCAGTATGAATTGGCCCTTCAAGGCAGAGAGCAGGGATTTTGGACTGTGCCTGCCAGAGCACACAACAGCCAATTGGAATGGAGGACTTTAAATAAAACAGAATGAAGTGCACCACTAGATGGGGAAAATGCTCCTTTTGATTCAGGGCAAGAAAGCTTGGGAGGAGGCTGTCTTCCAGGCAGCCTAGGATCAGACTGAGGAGGATGCCATTCATTCTTCTCTCCAAAATGCTAAGTGGCTCATCTTCATGCTGGGGCAAACCAGAAATGCCAATCAACTCTAAGCCAGGAAACCATGGAAGGACAATTTTGAGAGGGGGAGAGAAGGCTTAACTTCCCACTTGCCCATTATTGATGAAAGATGAACAGGTGGCAACTATTATAATCAAATGCAGGCGTTCTTCAGGCTGTTCTGCTACCAGATACAAGAGGTATTTGTGTGGTAAGCCAAGACATCCATGCTTTGCTTAAATATTTTCTACAGTTACAATATTTGTCTCATTTTGAAATGGAAGCAAATATGCAGTGAAATTCAAGCCACTGCTCTGGATATTTAGAAAAAAAAACTAAGATGATTGGGGACCTTCAGGTGGAAGTTGAAATGGCAAAGCAGCGGGGCTGCTCAGAGGTAGCTGTCTGGGCCTGTATGGACGATCAAAGGAGCATATTCCATAGTTCTGTTGTACTGCTTGTTGTCTACATTAATCATCTTTGAGAATGTTCAAATCTAATTTACTTATTTAAACAGGCTTTTCATGTTTAATATCTGGTCATCTACAATACTACAGGGAGAAAGAATTCTAATGCTCCAGGAAACAAATGATGGTAATCTGCATCCCACTTCAAAGTACTTTTTAAAAGTCCATAACTACACAAAGAACCATAAGGGAAATTAATTTTAGAAATTTAAGGTTAGGGCTATTTGACATCTTGGAATTCCTTGGAAATAAAGATAATGCTGGAGGTTTGTGCTTTGCAGCAAGCCAGCTTCTCATTCTTAAAAGTGTGCATATACATGGTTTTGGTTTAAGAGAGCCAGTTTGGTGTAGTGGTTAAGCATCAGGCTAGACACCAGGAGACCGAGGGTTCTAGTCCTACCTAGGCACAAAGCCAGCTGGGTGACCTTGGGCCAGTCACTCTCAGCCCTAGGAAGGAGATAATGGCAAACCGCTTGTGAAAAATCTTGCCAAGAAAACTACAGGCAGTCTCCAGGAATCGGACATAATTGAATGGATTTTAAAAAACTTTAATTTGGCTGAGTCAGGGAGTCCAGTTGCTGGAAAACATGTTGGAACTCTTCGTCTCACTTGCATAAAAGTCCTTTTATGTTTCTGTTGTGTTCTTAACACTACTCAAGCAAGAGATGTCTGGGTTCTTATAGGTAGTCATCTATTATAAAAGAATTTCTTTGCAAGGAATTCAGTTTATATCACACAGCCTCACATTCAAGGTGACCAGCTTGCCGACCTTTGATAACCTGGCATTTGTTGCTGCTGTGCCTACCATTAGATTCACATGGACAGACTCAACCAGTTTCATCTGAGAAACTATTAACATCTTAGATCAAGACAAAAAAATGCTAGGGAATTTCTGGAAGCTTGGCATTCAGACAAGTCAGACACACAAAGATAAATCACATTTGCACACCATTCAAAAGAGAAAATAAAAAACCTAGGAAGGAAACAAAAAGATTAGAAAATATCCCATCCGGCAGCCAACATTCAGATAAGCAGGGATCAACACCAGACAAATAATCAGGCATAAAACAATAATCAAGGAACCACCAAGGAGGAAACCACACCCCTACCAAAACTTGCAAGGCACGCTATTATATATAAACAGCAAACCCCACACTCACTTGCACTGATGATGTTACCTAGTTAGGTAATGAAACAACTGCAAGCAACCAAGCTCAGAGATCAAGAATTCCACAGTTCAACCCTGAGCTACATATATTCTCTTCTATTGCTACCAGCAGAAGACTTCAGCTTTCAAATTGCTCACATAACTCACTGCAGAAAAGAGTTTTGGCTTGCAAAAAGTTCCGCTGCTTGCTTTTTGAAGGTGATGAAGATTTGGTTGCTGTTTTCAGCATACCCAAGATTAGATAATACTATAGTTATGTTGTATTATAATCACCCAGATAAAATGGTTAACAAATAAATTCCTATAGATTTTAGTAAGAGAAAATATGATAAATTAAGAGTGGTCACTCTTTGTTGGATCATGCCCTCTACAGTTTTTAATATGTTGTGTCTCAAGGCAGCATTTTGGGGGAAAAGGATGTAATGTCCCAACCAGTTTTCCTCCACCAGGTGCCTTCTAGATGTGTCAAACATTAATTCCCCAAATCCCCAGCCAGAATAACTGATTACTGATGCAAGCTGAGCCTCCCTTACACTGATTAGATTTAAATATATTACAGGTAGTCCCCCGGTTAAGAACACCCAGTTTAAGGATGACCCATAGTTAAGAACCGAGTCTATTGTAGCAAAATTTGAGTTAAATGCACAATGATTCAAGTTCATTACACAGTACTACTTATACAGTATTATACAATGATACTGTTCCAGCTTATGTACAAATTCGACTTAAGGACAGACCTTGGGAACGGGACTCATTCTTAAACTGGGGACTACCTGTACTATACTAAGCAAAGGCTAGGCAACTGCAAACATTCAAGATGTTTCTGCACTGCCATTCCTAGCAGCCTTAGTTACCTTGGCCAATAATGAAGGATGTTGGAAACTGTAATTCAACATCCTCTGGAATGCCACAGATTGTGTTGCTTGCTTGGGT